TATATATAATGTATGTATATATATACGTGGCATTTTGGATTGATTGAAGACTGTTTACATAGGCATTGTCGGGAGACCGGGAAGTAGCCGGGCAACAAAAAACAGCCATTGCTGCTGGAGACATTCACATCCACGTGAACCCTACCAAAAGGAATACTTTTCGCCACGTTCGCAAAAGCATAGAAACGTTCGACAAATCCGTTTGGAATGATCCATATACCAAAGAATCACTGATTCAAGAAAAGTCTTATTTCTCCAGTTTGATATCAATAAGCAGTAAGGTTGAATGTATATACATATTTATACAGGTTAGGTCAGGTCATCAAGGAACGTCTGAAGCGTTCCTCACTGGGTCGTTTTCAGGCATTTTCCTCCAGTGATAACGTTCCAACTGCACCAGTGAGCTTCTCTTCTTCCAAGCGCTTCTTTCCCATTTCTTCCAAATTGAGAAGATCCAGTCCGACCATGTCCTTTTGTACTTTGTACTAAGGGACATAAAAAACATGGACAGAATGCAGAACCGTATTCGTAGTATGGCAAGCGGATAACGAAACAAGGGTGAAGCTCTTTTGGCTGCACAGTTAGTTGGGTGACAATAGGTAAGAAAGCCATACAATTGAAGTAACATCACCCCCATTCTGCGCCCTGGTTCCAATAATCGTTTGGTGCCAACGCGTTCATCAGATTTTGACGAAATTTAACGAGTAGAAAACATGTCTCATTTGGAACAATGGGCGGTATACGGTGGTAGCCAGGCACAGGCGATCTTTTCAAGCCTAGGGACAGTGAACATTAGACTAAACCTAGCCAGAAAAATTCACTTTCCACACAGTGAGCTCACTGCTGTCTTTTCAGATCACACTGAAAGCTGTCAGTTAGACCTCGTAGATCTCCGCCTGGTAGGGAACGCGTGAGTAGAGCAATCAGTTTAATTTAGGCATTGCATGTTCCTCTCAAAACATCTCCAAAAAGACATTGTTTGCGCGGGTCCAGCTAAGGAACTCATGTCTCCTGCATTCTCGTAACAGATTTTCACTGAAGTAAGTGGCGATAGCGGACAGGCGGTGGTGCCGGATGTACTTTAGTGGGTCGTGGAGAGAATCACCTGTGATCATCAATTCCCCATCTTAAACCACATTCTTTGACTGGCAACGGATCTTCGAACTACCTTTAACTACCGTTCATCTGTCCAGTTTGGTTCTTTTGACCGCTGAATCGTGACCTGTATCTATCAAGTTTCGCTCAATATTCCGGCCCTTCCACCTCGTCATGTCTTTTGGCATTACGCTTCAACTGATTTTTGGAGGACATATAGAGTTTCTGTTCTTATACGTAGGAAAATTGTACCGCTAAAGATTTTAGCTTCTGCTTTGCCTGACGATACATTACAGTTTGTACTACCTTTTCGAAACCTAGCAAACCTACATTCATCAGATTATTTTATTACGCTTGTTCTCACACTACAATTGCTGGTGAGGGCACTCCACTCGAAGTACGATCTCTGACTGGGTGAATACTTGTACCTCCTTCGCTGTCAAAGACAAAAAGTCGGGGGAAGATGTATGTCGGTTGCAAGGCTGACCAACTGTTTCGTAAAGCCTTTGAAAGTCTCTCGAAAACAGCCGGATAAAAGCACTGTACTCTCGCTCCCTCTCATATATGATTCTGAGGAGGACGTCGGTCTCTCATCACAATGGAAAGCCGAAAACTCCGGCTTTTTGCCCCATACTCAATCACATCTCTCTGAACCGCCATTCCAGCTAACCCCAGTCCCTATTCCCTGCCATACCCGTCACTATCACAAGGAATGTTTTTTCCGTCACTCCTATCGCATCATACGGAACCGTCTGGGTCAGGATAGTATCCTGATAGCATCTCCTCGCTTAGTAACATTCCACAGCTAACGCCGACCGCAACCTGTCTTTGTCACCTATACCTGGTTTTACACCATTGGTTTGTGGATCCCATTCCGACCCGAAAAATTATCATCCCATTCGTATCCACCTACCTTCTTCGATGTTCTCGACCTAGAAAGTAAAATAAAACCAATAGCCAATTGAGGCGCTACTGATCTCCCGAAGGCTTGTTGGCATATTCCTCATATCTGGTGAACCAGCTTAAACTCATTTAAAGAGACCGGAATACAGTTTCGATTTTTTAGTTTTCCAGAATACGGCACGCGACGCTCCGCACAGGACTATTCATGTCCAGTCTGCACCTGGCGACGACAAAACAAATAAGTTCATTAGAGGATCGTTCGTTGCGAGTTCTACTCGGCAGCTTTCCTCGCATCCATAGCAATAAAGTATGTGCTCCCCAGAGTTATGTATCATTCCACACCCTTTCCCTTCGTTTCGTCTGGTCTGATTACATCAGTAATTTTGCAGACATTGCCACTTTTTACCCCTCCAAACGATCTCCCTCCATTCAGATTTGTGACGATCACATGTAAAACAAGAGCAGACCTAACGAAACCTCGCGATATTTTCGACTGGGAGTAGCCCAACGCAACTACAGCCAACTTCCCGAAATCTTCAAATTTTCCTCTCCCTTTGCCTGACCTAATGTCACTCACACAATGGGTTCCAAACCCATCACGCAACCCCGAACGTGCTCGCTACTTAGTTTGTCGTTGTCCAACACTTTTCTCTTAGTTCCCCTACTCCCAACCATTATCCGTAACAATCCTACCTTTCAGCGATGACAGTCAAGCCTTATACTATTGTTTGCGCCTGATGGATGTCCTGTCATTACATGGGTTAACTCGTCTTCCAGCGTGAAAAAAATGTTGAGTGTAGTATTCCGTGTTTCGTTTATCGACCTACTGAAAAAATCGTTTCGCTGTAGCAACCTTTCGGCGCCTAGCTGTCATGCCACCAGAAGGGAGCACGAGGGCTCGGATACTCTCAGGTTGCCCAACTCTAGACAGGTGAAGTCGAGAGGCAGAGGTCGGGTTCGAACCACGGACGTTCCGGTCACTAAATTCGCGCTCTAACCACTGAGGAACAGTCAGTTTGGGCGTAAGCAGAGACGACAAACAGGCATCGATCAACTTCCCGCTTGTGAGATTCCTCCACAGATGTTGCCAGACGACCGCAAACAGGCGACTGTCAACGGTACCCAGTCAAGCAAAGATCCTACCGCCCGGTGACTTGGGACGATACCAATCCCTGCATATCCTGCCGCAGCAGCCACTGGATCACCAGAGGTGCGTAACCGGAATAAAGTGGAGAGTGATTGGGCAGATAGCTCAACCACTGCGATTGCATCCTTAATTTTTCTTTCTGAGACGCAGCACACACATAGAACACGATTATTTTCTGAGTGTATGTCTACTCTCAGCCTGGATAACGACACGAGCCAAGCGTGATTTACCTTGACTTGGAGATTGAGGATGATGCGACAAACGTCACAATTACAACACTATCACCAACGGTTTGGCGAGATGGTTGTGGTTAAAGGGCAAATTTACTGATCAGAAGGTTCGTGGTTCGAACCCGACCTCTGCATCTCGAATTCTCCTGTCTAGGCTTGGGCAAACTGGCAGTATCCCAGTACTCGTGCTTCCATCGGGTGGCATGGCAGCTAGGCATTTGTTTGTCCGGTTAATTTTGTCACTCGTGGCGTTGTTTCAAGGATACTGCCGGGAATCCTGGAACGCTGATAGAAGCAGACGCAAGACGGTCGCTGTTTGGTTTGGATGAGGCGGGGTAACGGGAAAATTACAGAGTGAAATCGTCCTCGATAAAATAATTGGTCTGCAGTAGACCAATACTAACAGTTGGAGCAACATGTGTGGTGGGAGAATGTTATTGAGGCAAGTTTTGGTCGAAACAGTGACACCTGTGATCGCTTTCCTAATATCTGGTGGGTTATGGAAGCAAGCTTACTTGTGATAGCTGTCAGTTCTCAACTTTGACGACTTTTGGTTGCAAATAGAAAGACAGAGGAATGGCGTCCTAGCACACGTCAAGCAGAATCACAAGAAGTCTGTGACTTGAAAACACAGAAGCATTATACAGCCATTTCAACCTTCCTTGGGATATCTCTTCGTACGCACTCACGTCCTAAACGGAGTTGGGACATAACGTTGAGCAAACGAATGAAATTTTTCAATTCTGACGCAAGAGCGGATGAGTAATAAAGTTGTCAACTTGCACCTCTATGAGATAAAGTAACGCCCTCTTATAGCTGGCTATTTGAGCAACCGAATGACTTTGAAAGGTGTCTAAAGGCCATGAATTTTAGCTCATTGCCATGTGGGAAAATAATAAAAGGCAACAGACTACAGGATAGGATATAGTGGAATATGTTGGGACATGATTATGTATGCTTTAGTTAAGCACAGAATACGATCCTAACAAACTGAGTACTAGGCACAAAAGGGTTACTAGCATGAAGTACGGAACACCAGTGAGCTCTGAAAAATAAAACAGATAAACAACAAAGGGATAAAGTGACTACATCTTACCGCCTTCAGCGCCTGTCCAAGACTATGCAAATGATCCTCTCTGGAATTAAACGTGAAAGATAAATCAGCTTCACCGTGAAATAAAGATAGTTCGTATAAGATGGAGTTTAGAAATGGTTTGGTTTCTAATTAACAGGCCACTTTGCGGCTGATCAAAAGCATATGACCTTGAGTAAGGTTCATCGGGTAGAGATAATCCTCGGACAATTGGATAACTGCCCTTCTAATTTAGCGGTGTTTACACACGGAGTTAGGGCTTATGATAATATTTTCACCCATCGTGACACGGAGATCCTAGTCGGGCCAAGCTCCAACATTCCTCAAAGGAAATATGGAATCTTGGGAGTTATCGGAGAAAGAGCGCCTCCACATTGTGGCTTATTCGATTCACTAACTGGGATATCATTGCACGTTAGTCACGCAGGGTGGTGTTTGGTACATATTAACTCTAAGGACACGTTGATTTCCTTCTATCAGTAATGGCCTTCCACCTTTCCATCTTTGAGACCACATGACAGAAAAACTGATGCTATGATTCCCTAACGCTTCCATGAACTGGAGAACAGCATTGTACTGAACGTCGAAGTTTCCCGCTCAGAAAATTCAACTCCGTGCGTCACATTCCACAAAAACTATGAACATGAATTCCCTACTACATCTGTTCAGCTCTCATACTGATGGACCAAATGGCCCGTTTCTAAACATTACGACAACCTTTGAACAGGTAGTTAGATCAACTTGTTTTACAATGTCACTTACGTTTGCGAAATTCAGACCGCCGATATGTTATGACGTTAAAATCGCTCGGTTCTTTCGTTCCAACAGGCGCATAATATTCGCGTTATATGTACCATGGACATGACATGGCTCAACATGCTGCTTAGCGTTCGCTTGTTTTAATTCACTGCCAAGGTTGTTCCATACAAACAAAATTAAGTATTTAGTTTCACTGTCTCGTTCATCTGTAGCACCCTTTCGGTGCCCAACAGCCAAGCCACACGAAGGTGGCACGGGGGCTTGGATACTGCCGGATCGCCCAAGCCTAGACGGGAGGGGGAGTCGAGAGGCAGAGGTTGGGTTCGAACCACGGACCTTCCAGTCAGTGAATTCGCGCTCTAACCACTTGGGCCATCCCACCCCGGTTTCGCGGTCTGCCCATAGCCTTCTCCATGCGATAGCCCAGCCAATGGTTGGTTGAAATCTGGAGTATTATAGGGTTTCTATAGTAAAATTGCAAGTCAAAAAGTCACTTTGCTCCGACGAGATCATACCAACCTAACACTTCAAAACTTTGTCACCACAGTCTGGTTTTAACTGCTATTGGATGTTGAAAGTGAATTCAGTGTATGCTGATTAGTCTCGAAGTAGTGTCCAAGGATTTCATTCTTGTCGAGAATTGTTAACAACGCGCATCTCAATGAATCTGAAGTGATTCGAACTGTGGCCAACCGAATGGTGATTGAGTACTACATCAGTCAGTCACGAGTAAGCGGTCGGCGCATGGTAGTTTCTTTAGGGATTCACCATTCTGGAGGGGCCACTGCATGTCGTACTCAGAGCACCACATAGAGCTAACCAAGCAGGAAAGTAAAAAAACAACTTACTGAGCCCGCGTTTGAATCCAAACAATATAGTCATCCAGGTAGAGGTCCGCAAAAACATGATAGCCGGGATAGGCGATGAGTAGGCGTCGAATATCAAGCAAACACTTTAAGCACCACGATTTGACTGGAATGAGTAAAGCAAACAGTAGACCAGTAACGGTTGTGAGTGGACGGATGTCCATTTGTCAAATACAGATAGACAAAGAGATGTTGGGTGGGAAGTATGCTTTCGTAGGTACAAAATGTACATACACGGACTGTCCACCGTGTCTGGAATGGGGCGATGAGCCACGCTATCAGAAGGTAGTACTCTACTTTCCATAACAAGCGAGTGAAGACGAAAATGACTACGAGTCAGAAACATGCGAAATCCTTAGAGAGAAAAGAAATCCATAACTACATGAATCGGCTGTCACCTGATATACACGATGATGAACACAATCAATCAGCGCACTTTATTATTTGGGACGTTCAATAATTCTGGCCATCAAAAGCTTGCGAAACTTAGTCCCAAAGCTCTCTCTATGCAGTTTCATAACGGTTACGAACTGGGCTCTTTCACAGCGATGCCTATGAAAAACAAAATAATCAATGCCACTTCTATACACTCATAAAGCTCGTCGGGAATTTGCCTCTATCGCTTTCGGGTGAAGTCTCATGGTGCAAGGGCAAAATTTAACGCTACGATAGACCACGTGGGTAATAGACTAGGACCAAAAACGGATGATGGCTGAAGATGGCTGTGCGGTGAGATAAACACAGTCGAACTTTATGTTATTTGGTGTAAGAAGTGGTTTGCTTGTTGTTCCAGTCTGTGCCTTCAACTTCTGACGGTATATAAAATAGTAATCGGCAATTTATGTATAATGGCCGAAGAAAAGAACTTCGGTCCCGTAGTTTTGATGCTATTGAGACTGAAAACGGTATTGATCTCCTGTTCTATGACCAGTGGACACTTACAAATTGTCCACATTATACACCAACAGGTAGTCCCACAACCACCGGGTCGACGTCATGCTACGTATAGCTACCCTATTTGACTTACCACCGGTTTGGATACAGAGTTGTACCTTGGTTGATATGGGAAGTCGAACAGCGAAACCACGAATCAAATCATTTGTTGGGACGCGTAGCTATTGCATAACCCACATATAGTACAAGTGTCTGGGCAAAAAGAACTCACCCACTCGTGGTGGGCTAAAGTAACAGACTTATGTCGTCGGTAGCTCGAGCTCTAACGCTGAGAAAAACTCTGTAGATTTAAATCGCCATAATGGGTAACTGCACCGAAAGGATTGAAAAGAACTTACGAATCACTCAATCAAGCTGGTCAATGTATTGCAGCACGCTTTGATGACGAGTTTAAATCATCAGTGGGGCCGTAATTTTTGGGTGGCGATTAGGCATTACGAGTCAAAGCTGATGCAAACGTGTTGTCTCTCCAAAGTTTGGGTGAAAATTCGAAGGATTAAAGAGAATTATGAACTAGGGGTGAGGTTTCCGTTAAAAACGACAGTAGCTAAGGGATGGGCAAATCATGATGTAGAAGAACGGAATGAATAAGACCTTGAAAAAACCAAGATGTTTTACGTGCTGTCCATCTTCCAGGACAGAGTCCATATTATCCTCCCTAGACATGGCTGAAGACAGCGCATAATAAAAATGACTCCATTTTCTATCTCGGTTATTTGAGAGGATAAATAGAAGTGAGTGGTAGGCGCACAAGGTGGGATGAAACTTAATCCTTCCTGTTTTATTCCTCACTGTTTTGTGGGGCCCTATTGTGGTTGCACGACAGTTAGGTGCCAGTGCTCTCCCACTGGTAGTGCTGTCAATGATCTTGACGACATGGCCACTTCCTCGAATCCGAAGACTTAAATGCGGAACAGCGCCTGAGGTGGATGACCGACCAATAAGATATGCAACCAGTCCACAGAAATGATGTTGAAGAACAAGCGCATGAACCGAAAACGCAATGAGTATTTTAAGAAAGGGATAAAAAACCGGTGCGCAAAGCCGAACGCAAACAAAAAGGTCAGCTCACAGGAACACCACCTTCAATTACTGCAAGCGGGTTGGACGTCAAAACAGACAGAATTTGTATGCCTGTTACCGATAAACTTCCACTTCCTGTTAAGAAGGCATTGCAGTATCAAGGAGATAACTCCAATATCTCGAACATCCGAAGAAACGAACCATTAGGTATCATCATCATCATCATCATCAATGACCGCAACATCAGTGTTGGCACTGATGCTTCACTGCCGTACAACCATAAAGTTCGTTTAGTTATATATATGTATATATATATACAT